TTAACTAACCTCGAATGTGTTGGGTATTATTTTGAAGGAATGCTCAAGCTCAACTTTTTTATTTTTTTTATTTTTTAAAACAAACGATAGTATCTATAATAAGACATACTGGTTTGGTATTGCTGTGCTTTAAAAAAAAATTATTTCTACTGTGCTGCGAGAATAAACAGTTGTGAAATAAAGCAGTAGAGTGTTTGATAAACTTTTTTGTAAAAGTGCTTTTAGCACAAAAGCAATGTTAAAGTGTTTGGTAAATTTTTATGTAAAACTGTTGTGACTGTGTAAAATGACTAAAAAAGATATGATGTTGAGTATTATATAATAATATTTTTATCTTTTCTTGTATTATGACATTTATAAGACTTATATAAACTATTAATAAACGAAGAATGTACTTTTACTTTTTTTTTTTGTTTTTAAGATATTTATAATTTTTTTGATTCTATTTCTTTCTCTAATAGTGTTTCTTCTTTATCTTGTCCCTATTGCTCACCGGAACTCTTCTCTTCTTCCTCCACTCCCTCTCCACCCTCCTCCGCCTTCAAATCCACCTCTTGCAACTCACCAACTCCATCCTCCTCTGCCTTCACATCCACCTTCTGTCACTCACCAACTCCATCCTCCTCTACCTTCTCTATTGAATCCAGCTTCTGCACCTCATTAGGCTCTCCATCATCCTCCCCTCCTCTTTCAAATCCAATTTGTGAAGCTCGTCAAGGACCGCATGATCGAGATCAAACGATGTGGGATCAAAATCGGGAGAAGAAGGCAGAAACACCTGGTCGGAATGAGCGTGGTTGGTGTTGGGGGTTTCGGGATTTGGGGGAACAAGAGAGATAGCTTAAGAGATTTCCATTCTCCCTCTTGCGAAATCAGTTTGCGTAGAAGCTAGGCAAGGAAAAAAAGCCTGTTTTTCAAAGCTGGGTTTTGTAGCTTTGTGTTTTTGGCTTTTTTTTTTCACCCAAAACATGCAAAAAAGCTGAATTTGAATGTTTACCAAATACAAAAAAGCTCCCAGCTTTTTTTGATACCAACTTTTTTCAGAAGCACCTCAATACCAAAGCAGGGTTTACTCAAACCTTTAAGTTTAGAGTAAAACTTAAATTTTAGGTTCTAAACCTACCTCAATTTGCTCAAACTCTTGGGCCAAATATGAGTTTTAGCCCAAAACTTATTTTCGAGGCAAATTCAGGCCAGAATTTCCTTTGGGTTAGTGGGCTGGCTCACCATATATGTGTATTTTTTAAGTTTTATATTTATAAATTCATTGAATCCAATGGTTAAGATCTAATATGATCAAATCCAACGGTAATAAAAAAATCTAACGGTCAAAATTTAAATCTAAGGACTAAAATAAATATAAAAAAATCTTTCAAGTGTTTCATATTCTTTTGTAGTGTTCAACGAGTTTCACGGTGTCGATTTAGTAATTTTTCAATATTTATCGAAATCTTAATATTTTTAAGTCAAAATGTTCATAAAATAAATTAAGGTAGTCTATATAATTTTTTTTATAGTTACTTTAAGAAAAAAATTATCCTAGATTCATTATTTGGCAAACAAATTATACTATCTTCATATTTTAATAATTTCGGGCTAAAAAGTTAAGCATAAGCGTGAAAGAAAAAAGCTGTATCTAGATTAAAACCTAAATTTTAGGGTTGGGTTGGAGATGGTCTAAGGAAGGCTTGACATAATAATATGGTTCAAATTTACCTTTGACGAAAATCAAACTTAAGACTCATCATTTACAAATAAAAAAGAATACTACATGACCTAATATTAAGTGGATGCTAAAGCTCAACTTTAATCATAAAAAAAATTAAAATAAAAAATAGTCCGGTAAATTCGTAAGTGAGAGAGCATTCCGTGCGAGTAAAAAGCCGTGTGTGAGGGCACCCGAGCAAAATGGGGGTACACAAACGAGAGAGCGACCGCGACACAACGAGAAGAAGACAGTCACAGATGACACAGTGACGACGACGACGACGACTGCCATGGATACGAACAACAACAGCAAAGATGAGCTCCGGGACCAATCAAAAGCCTCCCAAAAAGGCAGATCATGCAAAGGAACACTCTATTATTCATCCGCCCTCAAATCCAAGGCTTACAGTCCTCTCTGCGTCGGCGTTCCTCGCGCCATCCCCGAAGGTTTCATCTCTCCCTTTTCTCTTATCTTTGCTATTTTCTGTTTGGTTCTCGAGAAAGTTTTATACGAAAACATTAGTTTCTTCACCAACGGACCTATTGTATCACCAGAAATCTTATCAATTGCGGAATTTTTGATTCTCTTTCTCTTGAATTTTGAATTTTAGGGTTTCAATTTCTAAAATCTGAATTCTGATTTTGTGCTTGCTTGGATTTATTACGGAAGTTGTTTTCTTTTTGTCATTTTATCATTTCGCCTTAAATTTGAGATTAATTGACGATAATTTTGCTTAGGAAATTAACCAAGTCATCATCTTTGAGCTGCAGTCTGATTTATTTTTCCATTTCCCAGAAAGTGTTAATCTTTCTCCGCCATTTTTGTGATTGGATTTTATAGCCGCCTTATTTTGTAGTTGAGATTGTTGGTTTGGTGTTTTTTCTTCTTTTTGTGAATTGAAATTCGTTTATCAAAGTTGTATTGGACTAGTTACTAATATGTAGATTTTGGTGACCAGTGCCTCAGTCAATAGTTTCGGAAACTGAGACGAAAGCTTCTAAAGATGATCGACATCTTACTGAATTTCGCTATACTTGTGCTGGCTACTCGCTGTACTTGGATCGTATTACGAAAGACCATTCTGGAAAGGAACAACCAGAATTGCCCGTTTGCTACGGTCTTGAGGTTAAATATCTCTCCTCTCTTTCCTAAGCCCTCACACAAAAACACAGAGAGTAAAACATTGTATTATGTGCTAATATGAAATGTGAGGGGTTCATGTGCTTGATTATTTACCTTAAAACTGATTGTTTAAATGCATGGAGCTTGGCAAGTCCTTTTCGGGTTTCTTTTATATTAATTGGATTCGCTATTACTTTTAGGGCTCGTTTGGTGCCTAGGACAGGACCGGAATGGATAACTCTTATAATTCATTTGAAGATAGAGGCGAATGATTTTTCATTTTGAGGGGAGTAGACATGAAGGAGGTTATCTTTGTAATCTTAGAATTTTGGGGTGATTGCAAGGGATAAGTTTCCTTGATGAGTTATCCATCTTCTATCTTCAAAAGTTGGACGCAATTTTTTCATTTATTCTTTCAGCATACCTTAAATATAGTAAAGTATCAAACCTAATCCAATCCCAGACACCAAACAAGCCATGGCTTTAGAGTTTAACTAATGAGATCTCGTCAGATCGTGTTATACAAGATCTAAATATATTGCATGATAACAAGCTATGAACCGTTCATTAGATGATTCGACTTGTGAGCTTCTGGTGCAAATTGGAGTTGGATCAATGTGTTTAGTGCTTAGAAAACTGGAAGTAATTAAGTCTATGCAGAAACTGACTTTCTCGACACATGAAATTTCTACATAAAATGCTTCTCCCTATATTAATCTTTGTTAAGCATTCCAACTGACATGAGTTAATGCAGCTTTTGGTTGGCAAAAGAATGGTTCAAAAGACACCTGCTGCTGCTCCCGTTTCTGCCCATGTCCATCACAAACAGGGTAGGGAATTGAATTTTTGTTTACCCGTCTTTTTTTCCCTTGTCTTTCTCCTTCTAGGTGTTGCTTACAATAGTTTGCCTCCAATGTAGTTAAGATCTTCCTGCAAAACTAGCACTTAGATAGTTGGATCGAATGAGTTACTTCGGTTGAACAGACTTTCACATTGGTTAAGAATCTTAGATATATAAACTAGTGTTTGGTTTCTCGAAATGATTTCGAAAAATTCTTGTGCTCTAAAGTTCAGGTGAAATGTTACATTTATCATTTAATGTCGGCTTTATTTATCCCTTGTGATCACCTTTTAGATGTTCATGAAGTCCCTCAGACTCAGAGGCAGCAACCGACTCAGTCTGCAGGAAGTCTTTTCTTCAACAGGCAAGACTATTAAAGTGAACAATCGGAATCCTAGTTTTCTGAACGTTACGCCTGATTTGTAACGGGTTATCTGATGTTTGTTAACGAATGTGTAGGTTTACAAGAAACGCAGATCTTGTTGCTTCAGGGGTGACTAAGAACATACGTAAAGTTGGGAACTACATAAAAGCAAGTGTCGATGATTTTCTATACCAGTACAGAGGGCGACCAAAGTAAGATCGCTTGTTGAAAAGTCCAGATGAATGAAGAAAATAACTCGAGAAGCAGGATTCGGCTTGACTCCATATCTGCGGTATTCGTCTTCGATTCGTCGTGGTTTTTGTGCTGTTTATAACACCTCTGCGCTCCATCCACATTTTGAGCAATAGAATGTTAGTGCAACTGCTATAGGCTTAGAGGGAGGGCTTCTTATTTATCTTGGAACTGTTGAATAACTAATCTATGGTGATTATTATTTATTTGGTTGTGGAGGGAAGTAAGAGATTGTGCTATTTTCTAATAACATTATTATTTCTGACAATCGTTGTATACACTACTTTTACGCTTCAATCCTTGTATACAACCTTGTAGATAACTTTCCTCTCCTAAAACTTGTCACGTGACTAATATGTGAGCGGTTTAGTGTAACTGTGTAAGAGGAGTTATATGCATCGGTTGTATACAAGATTTTCCTAGTTCAAATGACGTGACCGGATTAATAAGAGAAACACTTGTATGAAAGTTAAATGAAAAGTTAACTGAGACAATTAGAGCCTATTTCGGGAAGGTTAGAATCACTTATAGAGAGTAGCGCTTCTAAGTGATTTTATGCAAGACAATCGAAATTAAACATTGAAACAACTGATAACGCAAGTGCTCCCAAACATGATTACAATCCATGAATGCTCATGTGAAGCTAAAGCGTCTGCCAAGAAATTAGCTCATTAACCATTCGGGTTAATGGAGATTCCTCTTTCACTAAACCATTATGATAATCTATCAGTGAGCAGCACTAGGGCGACCAAATCGACCTGCATACAGCTCTGGACTGGATTATCGCAGACAAGATTAAGCACTTAATTAAGAAGGATTAAGCACTTAATTAAGAATCACGCTTACGACCGTACAAACACAATTAGCAGCTTCCGAAAAATAGAAAAAGTTTGCGCTCTGTTTGGCACGGAAGCTAATTTAACCAGAGGAGGAGACAAAGCAAACCAAACAGGCAAACCGCGAAATCAACCGGATCCTCCCTGTATTTATATTTTGCGAATTCCGAGACGGACAAGGAACAGCAATCCTATCCAATCCAATCCTGCAGGATTTCTCAGCTGGAAAAATAGCATATATTTGCTCTTAGCTCTCCGGCTCGTAGCTTTCCGGATACAGGTACGTACTGGATCGGATTGAATTTTCAAACTTTTACTGTTTTCTATCGTTTTCTCGCGTTTTCTCGGTAACCAAACGGTCAACATTTCTCTTCCGTGCGTGCAGATTCTCGGCAACCAACCAATTGAAGGTTTGAGATTGAAGTTAGCATTGGGAATCAGGTGCGGAAATCGAATTCGAATGGCCGCTGCCGCGGCTTGCAGACGGGTCGCCCAACTGGGGACCGGGTCGGGGATCGGATTATCCGGTTTCGGAGGGGCCGGTGGTGCCTCGAGAGCGGTGTCTCCGTCGTTGGAGTACAGGCATTTGGATTGCAGGCTGACTTCTCAGCTGGTCAAATCAAATGGAAAGCGGTTGTTTCTCGTCGATACATTAGCGTTGGTAAGTAATCGAATCGCTTTCTCTTTAGAAATATGGTAATTTGAATTTTTTGAAAATTGCATGATTGTGCAAAGTCAAGTGATGAAAAATTTACAGTGAGATTAGAGAGGTTGTAATTGTTGTTTATTATATGCTGCATTGTGTTTAGGTTAGGAGATTAGAGGGACAAGGCGTGCCCTCGAAGCACGCGGAGGCAATAACATCTGCCATTACTGAAGTTTTGAATGACAGCTTGGAAAATGTGTCTCATTCATTTGTTACAAAAGGAGAGATGCAGAAAGTAAGGAGCTTTCATGTGTACTCTAATCTTCCCGTTTAATGATTACGTCTGTGTATGTTGTCGTTCATCAAATTATGATGGTTGTATTTGAATGTATGTTCTGCGTAATTGTTTATAGACGGAGATGATCCAAGAATCCAACTTGTCCAAATTCAAATCCGAAATTCAAAGTGCGCAGGTACTTAACAGCTCTTTCCGTTAGTCATTACCATGAGATCGTGGTTTGTGTTTAGTTGTTGAATTTTCTTTTCCTGATATGTCGATTTGTGGATGATTCTGTTCTAGTTGCCGTTCAAATCTATTTACTGTTTCGTTTGTATGCGAACTTTATGCCTGATTGACGTTTCTATAATAAGCTTTGTAATTGGTTTTTATCTGCGTTTGTCCTGTGTATAAAAGTCGCCAAATCATTGATGGTTTTCTAGTTGGACTGCATTTTGGGTTTCAACTGATGTTGTCGTCTCCAAGATCACGTATACATCAGTAGACATGAATGCATGGCTACTTGTATCTAATTTTCAGTTACACTAAATAGCTGCCATTGGTTCTCTGAAAGAATATGTTATGCAGGGACACCATTTTTCTTTGTTGCAACACGAGACTGAAAAACTTCGGAATGATATAGAGAAGATGCGGAGTGAATTGAGGTCTGATCAATGGAGTTACTGTAATTTCCTGTCTGTTTCCATGTGAATATGTGTTTGCTTTCTATAATCGTCATCACAGTGCAAATGTTTTTATTGTGATGCAGGTATGAAATCGACAAAGTTACTGCAGGACAGCGGTTGGACTTGAACCTGGAAAGAGGGTAAGTGAATACGTTAAATAAACATAGTATTCTCTGAGTTCGTCAAAATCTCTGTTTGAGTTATGAAATTCACTCGCCTTGTTCATTCTTTTGGTTAATGAGTACAGGAGGATACGAGAAGAGCTATCAAATCAGAGTGCTGAAACCAATAACCTCACTAACAAACTTGATCGGGTAAGAATTGGCTGACCACTTTTTCGATTTGAACTAGGAGTGCAACATACAATTCGTTTTACTAACGCTTACTACTATCAGGAAATTCATGCTTTAAGGGCTCAGGTGGAAGCAGCAAAATACGATGTCATAAAATACTGCATAGGTTCTCTTGTTTCGATATCTGCTGTCGGTCTTGCTATACTCCGTATCTTAAAGTAAACTTGTTCTATAGTTAACGATGACAAGTCCCAATAGGGGAAAACTGGGAAAGGTTTCATTCTTTTCAAGCTGTTGTAATTTTAAGAAATGTGATAAATATGTGAAAGATAAGGCAAAGTCATTACATTGTAAGTTGGATCAAGGAAGCATTCAATTACGCAAAACTCATATTTTTGTCCTTTTTTTCTTTTCAATATTCTTTGGTAAATAATCTGTAAATAGTTTCATTTTGCACTCTCCCATTTCTTATATGCTGCTTTTGCTTTCTGATGAGTTGAGCGTTTTGTCAAAATTTTCTTGAACTTGTTGAGATTTGCGGCTCAAAATTAGGATGATGCAGAAATTAAGTTTATATTACCTATTTCGTATTGGTGTCCTATTTGGGTTTGGATTTGACTTCTTGGTTGGATTCCCTGTTTGGTAGAGGGATTTTGTTAATTACCTATTTGATTAGGGTTTAGTTTATAGTGTCGTCACCATTGCTTTAGACAGTTTTCTCTAGCTGGGTTTCGGAGTCATGAGTGCTTGGCAAACTCAAACTCATGGCTCTTTTGTTTGGCAATTTGGTGAAAATAAATTTGTGAGTTAGAGAACAATTTGGGAAAACCTTCTTTGTTTGTTGTGGGTTCTCTACTCGTTTGGTTTAGGGTTTGTAATTTGTGGGATTTGAGTTGTGAGAGTTAAACCTTATGCGTCACACCTGAGTGTTCCCGATTGGACGACATTTAGCTGACGTGGCTAAGGTACTTTTGTGTATCAGGGCTCATTTGAAATAGAATTTTTCTTGAGGATTTCTTAGTTTGGATGCCTCACTTGGACCTGCTTAGACACATGATGTCGCAGAACGTACTTGAATTAGTAAGCTGGTCCGGAATGGAAGTAATCATACTCATGATGGAGTTCAGAGCCACCCCTCAGATGATTTTCAAATCGCCCTTTCCATTATTCCATTGAATAGCATATAGCCATAGTTTTGAATGTTATAACTCACAACCCTTTGGTTACATAAACTTTTGGGAGGCTGGATCGTGCATTGGATTTTCGGGTCAAGGGTCATGTCCCCCTGTCCGTAGTCAACCTATTGTAACCGCGCTTAATACGGCTTGAGCCTCTCAAACTGTTAACTAAATACTATGAAATGGGATAAAGGAGACTCCTTTGACCTTATCACTTTGAATTTTTAGACTTGCAATTATGCGAAGTTTCAAAGCTTGTATTATTTGGGATTTTAGGGCATACCCTATAATGCAAAAAAGAAAAGAATGAATTGTAGACATCAAAATTTCGGTGAAATGAATGTTGACCAATAATTAAAATTTCAACGCTCACGTGTCACATAAATTTTACATGTAGCGTGTGATTCAACGAAAAATCGAAATAAATTGGAAAAGTCGTCAAATAGGACACGTGTCAATACCTGGCAGAAATGATTTATTTCATCTGATTATTTAAATCCAAAAATCAAGTCTTGGAATTCTATAAATAGAAGCCAAGGCATTCATTTGAAAAAAAAGGGGAAGGGAGGAAGAAAGGAAGGAAGGAAGAAAGAAAGAGGAATTTACATTACACCAAAACCTTCAAGCCTTGAAACTCTAAAGCTCTCAAGCAAATCCCGAAGGATCAAGAAAGCACTCTTCGTTCTTCGTCAAATCCTCCTTCAAGATCAAGCCCCAACGGCCCTTGAAGAACTTCCACCAACTCAAGATCAAGCCCCGACGGCCCTTGAAGAAAGTGTTCATCGTTCATCATCCATTCATCCTAAGATCAAGCCCCAACGGCCCTTTGGATCAACAACCTCAACAAATCCACACATCCAATCGTTCTTCAAGATTAAGCCCAAAAGCCCTTGAAGATCCGCTCATCCATCAACCTTCAAGATCAAGCCCCAACGGCCCTTGAAGAACTTCCACCAACTCAAAATCAAGCCCCAACGGCCCCTTGAAGAAAGTGTTCATCATTCATCATCCGTTCATCCTAAGATCAAGCCCCAACGGCCCTTTGGATCAACAACCTCAACAAACTCATACACCCATTCTTCAAGATCAGGCCCAACGCCCCTTGAAGATCCATTCATCAACTGTTCATCCTTAGATCAAGCCCCGACGGCCCTTTGGATCAACAACTCATCCACAAACCTACACCCTACAAAGATAGAATCAGAGGACCAAATTACAAAAAGATTGTAACCCTAAAAAATCATTAATACAAAAATATATTTTGTACACGTATTCTTGTCTCTTGTTTTCAGGAATTTTTCGTGTTTACAAATTTTGCACGCTCGGTGGGATAATCTCTACCTCTCATCTCTATCCTCAAATCATCGAAAAACGCAAATGGCATCAAGAAATGATCAAGCTGTTCCTGCAATCAAAGCAAAGAACAAGAACATCATCGCCGCAAGTGGTGATATTTCGGGCATCATAACCCGAAGTAAGGCAAGAGATCTTTTTGCCGCGGCTTCCGCCCCTGCATTAACTCTGTCAAAGGAACAAGAGCACCTGAGGTACGAGCCTGTGATCACCCTAGCCTCGCTAAGGGCATCAAAAGGGGAGAGCCCAAGGAAATACTCAGAGTCCCTACTCTCCGACGCTGATTCGAGCGGCAGTACAACCATGCAAGTCATGATCACTGGAGTAACTTCAATCGAGGAGCAGCTAGCTCAGATGAATGAAGCAATCGCAAAGCTCACACGGACTGTGGAAGAGAAGGACTTGCAGATTGCCGCACTTGTCAACCAACTAGATGCACTACCCGACGTGAAAGTCGACCCAAATGTTGGCCCATTAAAGAAAGAAGTCGACGAAGAAGAGGAGCCACCAGCGGAGAAAGTTGAAGAAAAGCCGAAGCTAGACCAAGCAACGGCATTCATGGGATCTCTCTCTATCCAGCAGCTATAGGAGATGATCGCAAGTACTATCAAGACACAGTACGAAGGAAGCTCGCATGACTCCGTACTGTACTCAAAGCCTTACTCCAAGAAGATTGATGCTTTGAAGATGCCAAGGGGTTATCAGCCCCCAAAATTCATGCAGTTCGATGGAAAAGGCAACCCGAAGTAACATGTCGCCCATTTCATTGAAACTTGCAACAATGCTGGGACAGAGGGAGACTACCTCGTCAAACAGTTCGTGCGTTCGCTGAAAAGTAACGCTTTTGACTGGTACACTGACCTCGAACCTGAGTCTATCAATAGTTGGGACCAGCTAGAAAGGGAATTCCTCAACCGTTTCTACAACACTCGTCGTACTGTAAGCATGTTAGAGCTGACCAGTACGAAACAGTGAAAAGATGAACATGTCGTCGACTACATAAATAGATGGCGTTCTTTAAGTCTGGATTGCAAAGATCGGCTTTCTGAAACCTCTGCCATTGAGATGTGCGTTCAAGGCATGCAGTGGGGACTACACTACATCCTTCAAGGCATCAAACCACGAACATTTGAGGAGTTAGCCACCCGCGCCCATGATATGGAGTTAAGCATCACCCGTCATGGGAAGAAAGAACAGATCGCCGACTACAAGAATGACAAAGTTTTGGGGCCAAAGGTGGATAAGGCTACGTGGAAACCCACCAAGGAAGCAATGACGGTCAACACAACTCCAGTCAAAATCCCTACACAAAGCAAGGCGATTCAAACCGAAGCTTTTCGTGATCAAGAGATACGTAGACGCACTTTGAAGGAGCTTGAGGAGAAGACTTATCCATTCCCCGACTCTGACGTGGTTGCCATGTTGAAAGACTTGCTTGACAAAAAGGTGATCGACCTACCTGAGTGCAAACGGCCAGAAGATATGAACCGTACTGACAGTCCAAGGTACTGTAAATTCCACCGCTTCATTAGTCATCCGACGGAAAAGTGCTTTGTGCTAAAAGATCTCATCATGAAGTTGGCTCAGAAAGGGATCATCGAGCTAGATCTTAATGATGTGGTGAAGTCAAACTATACCACCGTCACTTCTGGCTCTTTGAACTCAAAATCTTCACCTCAACCGCTGGGGGCATGCTCCAAAACCATGTCAGTCAAGTCAAGTAAAGTTGAAGGATGAACTTATGTCACTCCAAAGAAAATGCACAAGAAACATAGGTCTCATCCACAAGTTCACCAATCGGAAAGGGGGCAAAGCAGCTACCGTCAACCTTCAAAGCTACATGAAAGTGTTGAGGATGATGAAGTTATGACACAAAGATCGTCCGTTGCCATCACGATGCGCGATTTCTTCCCCAAAGACTTCTTCAATCACTCAGTCAACACTCCTTGCTATAAAGATTGCGAGGAATGCCTCTCTAAGATTGTTTGACAAATTCAAAAAGCTCCTCGTTCGCACGAGCCTAAAAGGCGACAACTAAACGCTCCTTGTTCGCACGAGCCTAAAAGGCGACAACCAAACGCTCCTTGCCTGCACGAGCTGAAACTGCAAACGGCACCAAACGCTCCTGGCCCGCAAGAGCATAAACTGTGTACGGTAAAATCATCATCAAAACCATCACCCATTTGAACTACGTTATGACTTGATCTCTTCTTTGGAAGAGTACGTAGGCAACTTGAAACTTCAAAACTTCAAGTACAGTCACATCAAAATAAATAAATAAATGTTTCATTAAAGAAAGTCAATTTTATTACAAAAAAAGAACAAAAAAAAATTATACATGTTAGAGGGAGTCCTTCTACACTTAAGACTTGTGCCAAATCAAAGAAAACAGAAGTTGAGACCCACAAAAAGAGGAACCCAAATGCCAGGCCCATCTTTTCTCAAACACACAATTGTTTTGAGCTTGCTGTGCAAGGAGCTCTGCTTCTTCTCCCGCCAGGCCCGGGCCCGGCTCTCAAAGCCCAATCTGCGTGTGCTCCTTCATCCGTCCCTTCGACTTGCAGTTCTCCATAACACAGGTCATGGCCCATTCTTCCAGCCCACGTTCCACGACAACGTCACCACCGAGGAAAATTATGATCAAAAGACACTACACAGCATAAACTCGCTGCAGTCTTTTGCACAACCCCACACGGTAAAAGTGACGACTGCAACAAGCTCCAAGCAGCAGCAAGAGGCACAACAACGTCACCACCGAGGAAAATTATGATCAAAAGACACTACACAGCATAAACTCGCTGCAGTCTTTTGCACAACCCCACACGGTAAAAGTGACACACTGCAACAAGCTCCAAGGAGCAGCAAGAGGC